CGTCGCCGGCACCCCCGACAGGCAGGCCCTGGTGGGGCTGGCGCAGCCCACCCCCAAGGTGAGCCCGCCTCGGCACGGCCAGTCCCTTTGGTCCCGTCGCTCTTGCCATGTGCCTGGATGCTCCAGAGATGCGAGGCGCGAGGGGGCACACGGCCGCTGACCCCTGGGGCCAGCTGGCCACCTGCTCGGTAGAAACATCCCCAACATCCCGATGCTCTTGTGGCTGCAACATTGCTCCTCCTGCCTGGAGTCTATCCACACATTTGTTTTAAACTGTGTTTCGTGAGGATGACCTTCAGTCATCCTCAACAAAAGGTCCAGGTCTTGACCACACAAACATGTCTGAGATGCCTCTCTCTGCTTGTTGCCTGTGACATTTCCCCACAGCTCTGTGGAAGTCCTACCACGGCTCCAGCTGTTCGGGAGTTAGCTCTTAAGTTAATGTCTGCCATTAACTTGGTGAAAATAACATTTTGCGTGTTTACAGTATATAGAAAATTGTACAAGAGGCCACTTAAATAGTTCTGCATTCTCAGTTCTGCATGATAACTTGGCAGAACCCATCAGGAACATGATATAAAGTCCAAATTCTTAATCGAATCTGTTTTCTTGTTACTTTTCTACCAGAGGCATGTCCCTGTGCTACAGGGTAAGGGAGGGGTGACACCACATCTTAGGAATCTGTTTCTTCACGTGGCTGCAGAACAAGAGAGCGCCCAGTGTGTGCTGGCTGTGAGGATGAGTCACTGAGCAGCGCTGTATGCGGACTGTGCAGCTCATGGTGTATGAAGTTGCTTTCTTTTTCTTTTTCCTTTCTTTTTTTTTGGTATTAGTATCCGCACGAAGTCAATGGCACCCCTATGTATCTCTACGAGGTGGCCACTGAGTCGGTCTGCGAGTCGGCAGCCAGGCTGCTGTTCATGAGCATCAAGTGGGCCAAGAGCGTCCCGGCCTTCTCCACCTTGTCACTGCAAGACCAGGTAAGGCCGCTGCAGCCAGGGCCGTGGCCGCCTTGCCTGCTGCCAGGGAGCCCAAAATGGCAAATGTGACAAAAAATGTCCAGCTCGAACCTTCCGCCTCGAGCCTTTTAGTCTGTAATGGACTCAAGCTGCTCCAAAGTTCAGGAGAGAATTTTGGTCTAACCTCTAGAAAACACGCAGTGTTTATTTCGTGAGACAAACCCGGGTTAAAAAGATAATCTAAAGCAAATATTGTGGGAGGGCAAGTTCTAAAGGAAAAGCCACTAGGCCACAGACCAGGAGAAGCAAATTCTCCCAAAGATCAGTAGGCCAAACTGCTTCTCTTCCCACCTCTTCACTGCAACACAAACACTAGCCTGTTAGTTATCCACACAGCAGTGCCCCTCTCCTCTCCTCTCCTCTCCTCTCCTCTCCTCTCCTCTCCTCTCCTCTCCTCTCCT